GCCTGAATGAATAGTGTAACCAAATATATATATTTCAATAATTAAAATATTCTACTTGTGATCGATGTCATTTAACTGTACTATTCACAAATTATAAAATGTGAGTATTTTTCAGATTCCATATAAAACATGATTTCGAGAGAGAGAAAATACAATCCCTGAAAAGTTCTTGTGCTTTTAGTACGAAATAAATCACTTTCCGACTTATGAAAAAGAATAACAACAATTCGAGAGAGTGATATATGTTTGTACGAAGTATAAATTAGGTTATATTATTTTCTGGTAACAATTAGATAGGTTATATTTTTTTTATGATTTGTGATTGATAGCATTTTCACTTTTTATGCTGGCTCTGATCTATTAAGAGCAAGATAACTAATTTAGAGAAATTAAATAAATTATTTAAGTTGGTTAATTGTAATAAGTGTGTTGATTTTTGTAAACTACCTATTTAATTATATGTATTGGAACTATCTCTTTGTAAGAATCACTTACAATTAATAGAAATATTTTAGTATAATTAAATTCAACCTCTAATTAGCTTTTATATTAAGCATAACAAGAAGTACTATTTTTTTTTAATATTGAATTTGTTGTGACGTGAAAAGAATGAGTCAGTGAACAGAGAACCTAAAGCAAGCAGTTAGTGATGGGAGGATCGTTTCTCTGCAGTTGTTATAATATTTTTATTTTTATTTTTTCTCTAAAAATTAAAATACTCCTCCGGTCCTTATTGTAAGACCCAAATTGACTTTTTATTTGGTCCTAATTATAAGACCCAATCCATTTTGTCTCTTATATTTATGCATTTTTTTCCAAGATAATCCTTCTAATAATGATAGTTTTAGCCAATATACTTAATTAGCAAGGATATTTTAGGAATGATAACACTTATTTATTATAAATAACCAATTTAACTTACTTCCTTAATCTCCTCAAATAAGTCAATTGGGTCTTATAATTAGGACCGGAGGAGTAACAACTTAAAGTGAAATAGAACTGCCATTACCTTACACTTGTAAAGGAGCATTTATGCTACTAAGTTGCACCGTGTCTGCTATTTTTCTCTTCACGTAAGAAATTAAGGTGGAAGATAATTAAAGCTACTGTGCAGATAAATACTCCTTAATTAGGCGTTTGTTTTATCTTCTCCGCATCAACTAATCAAATTGACTGAACTACGGATATCTAATATCGACCAAAAAAAAGAGGCCAAAATTACGTAATCAACAGACCTTTAAAAAATATATCAAATAATAGGGTTAAATTTTATGTAGCGTATCGGCGTATCCTATATAAAATTCTTCTAATTTAATTTCAGGATTTTTTGGGTTTTAAGGAAAAATTCGTAAACTATTGTTAAAAAGGTGGAACTCATGAAATGGTGGACGAGTAAATTAAGAAAGTATTTTACTGAGTAGAATCTAAGCATGTTCTACTTTTCCTAATATCTATTATTTTTAAGTTTATCTTAAAAAATATAATAAAAATTCAATTAAAAGGATATTTATGTGTTAGCGTTAAAAATACTCTTATTATTTAAATAATACACTTTCTCATAATTGTAAAAACGAAATAAGCAGTCAATTATGTACTTTTCGAATAATATACTTTACGAAATTAAAAGTTCAGTAAATTGAACCAACCTATCGACCACAATTAGGGAGAAGAAAAGATCTTCATTTTTTTTTTGGGTCCCAAAAGTCCTTCTGAATAAGGTTTTCAAATTCAGGAGTGTAAACAAATTTGTGATAGAAATATAAACCTGGATCCTAAATTCATAAGAATCTAATTTTATTAATAAATTAGTATTAAAAGTATATAATTAATTAATTAAAATTAAATTCGCCAATGTTCATAATTTACCATATTAACGAGAAAATTGTCTTGATACCACCACCTTCTGCTATGATCCTTGCCCTGATTAAGGAATAACCAACTACTGATGATATCATCAAGGGCTTGTTTCTATTAATATTATATATATATATATATATTTATATATGTTTATATGAGCCTTGTGCCCTTTATCATTATGAACTTTGCTTTTCGCAAACTACTCGTTGCTTGCAAGTTCCCATGATTTTCTTCTACGTGTAGGTTTGTATATTCGAATTTTCCTTTTCTCCTCTTTTTTTTTTTTCAATCGAGTTCGGTCTAGGATTTATTAAGATCAAGACATATCTTTAAACTTAGTTAGCGCTCAAAGACACTTATTAGTCGTCTCACTAGTAAAATTCTTACACCAGCAACATCTATGATTTTAGGAAAAAAAGCATTAATGTCAATTGCTTAAGTGACTCGTGTGGCATGCCTTCGTGTGACATAATAAATTCTTTTTAGGGCTGTTATTATGGAACCCACCTAGAAGAACTAATTAATATGACTCTAAGGATCCACTTGGTGTGAGGAAAAATAACAGGAGAGGAGAGAAGAGAAAATTTTAATAAGCTTGATTTAAAAAATTGAAAAAGCAGAGTTAAAAACTTTTAATTAATTTTTATTATTTTTTTATATTACTTCTTCTCTTTATTAAAATTTTAAAACCTCGCTTCTCTAATTTTTTAAATAGAGCTAAGATTTTTCTTTCCCTCCCGTCCCTGCTTTGTTTTCCTAATGCCAAACAGTATCTAACAGTATATCAGGGATTACTACAGGTTAACTTTTTACGAACACCGTAATATGATTCTATGAATCACCAATTAGGCAAAAGAAAATATTACTTCAAACCACTGTAATAAAATACTACCTCTAATATTTAATATAAGAGCTAACTAACTAATTTGGATATGACTAGATTAGATGTTGACTTAGTTATTTATAACAATTAGATGTTATCTTCTTTAAAATACACTTGTCATTTAATTAAATATTTAACATATGAAACTACTATAAGAACTATTTTGAAAAAAATAGATAAATATAAGAGACAAAGTGAATTAAGATTTTATATTTAGATTCAAATTAAAACTTAAATTAGCTCTTATATTAAAGGTTAGAGGTATGCCTTTATAAACAAGTTTTTATAATTACAACAGGAGGTGGTAGTATTTTTTAAGAAAAATCTGGGTCTCTTCACCATCTTTGCGGCGCCTCCCTCCTTTGCTTCTCACCTTCTCATCGGCGAAGTTATCGGCCGATGAAAGGAACCGTCCACGGCGCTCAGGCCTTTTAAAGAAACTCATTAAAAATTTCGCGCTTTTTAGAGCAGCATTGGTTTTCGCAGCTCATTTATATTAGATATGAATGGCTCGCTGCCATTATTACTAAAGAAGTTGACTTAAAAACTTTGTGGCAATCAGTTTAGCCGACTAAGCAAGGAAGGAGAAAAAAGATGCCTACAAGTGAGAGAACAAAAGGAATTATACGGAGTTCACAATGAGTTAACTGTTTTCTCCAAAGCTTCCGCGCGTATGGGTTCTTTCTTCAACGATCTGAAACTCCCAGGGATCTTTTGATGCCCTCGCTGAAGAAACAGAGACCCATAAATCGATTCAGAACTAGAAAATAAGGAATCGCAACTCCAAAAGGTTTCTGCCAATTATGGGCTCCCTTTTCTTTTTTTTTCTTTGCCTTTGTATTTCAATTGCATTTCTAAAAGCGTTTGCTTTTGAATTGAAATCTCTGGGTTTTGTTACGTTGCTATATCAGAAGCTGGTTCAAAGTCAGGACGTAATGAGCACGTTCACAAAAACCACACGAGGCTCTTCAGGAAGTCAGACTCCCAGCGAGCAGCCGCAGGACGATGAGGGTGGAGATGCTGACTTGGCAGCCACTTCGGCACTTGCTAATTTACACATAGGAGGAGCTTGGCCGATAAGGATAACTTTCTTAAAAAGAAAAGATAACCTGAATTTTAAACGAATTAAAAGTTTAAAAACTAATTCTACTTAAGGAATTAAATTATAAATAAGTTAAAATTTGAAGTACTAATAATTAAAATTTGAGAGAGACCACACAGTATGCTTTGGTTTCAAACATGGGTTTAAGCATCAAAACAAACAAAAATCCTGATTACTTTAATTCTAATCTCACAAACAGAAAATTTAACGTTGCCTCGCCAAGTGACAAGAATAGGAATCAGTTTCAGTGGTCATCCTTTTGATGAGCACGATAAGCTCATCAAATCTAAATCATCCATATCTCATTTAGATGTCCATATTTGATTTCTTTTTTATTTATCATTCAAAATAATTATTTAATAATATAATCTAAAATAGTGATGATCTCTTAACCATCATTCTTTTAAAAAATAATTTTTTATTTAAAAATAATTAATTAAAATTTTAATCTAGACCATTCAAATCAGATATAGACAGTCCAGATCTGATGAATTTAGAGTACTCATCAAAAGATGAGCACCTAACTCTTCCTGAGAATATATATATAATTAACTAATTTCATTATTGTTCACCTTTTGGCATAAATTAGTATATAGAGTATCAACAACTGGAAACTCTAAACACACAAATGACAAACTATCACAGGCGGCTAAGGATAGGGAATGAGAGTTCTATCATATATATCCGAATGGTCCAGATTTTATTTTTATTATTTTAAAATAAGTACTTTAATGAGTGAAAATGATAATCTCTTAACTATATTTACCCAGAAATAATTATTAAAATTTTAAATTTGCATGCCAAAATTAAATCTGAATTGTTCCGAGAGGATAAGGCATCCTTTTTTTGGCAAGGAGAATCGTGTCAGATCACGAGGGAGACGGCTATAATAGATTATAAATTCATTAATATAGTACTCCTCGGTCCTAAATGTAAGACCCTTATACTAGTTGTATAAGGGTCTTACATTTAGGACCTGGAGGAGTATAATATTTTGTCTGTACTTTCGCGCGTCTTCATTTCTGTTCCTATCTACTTCAGTTCACGAATCACGTGGAACTATAACATCCTCAAATTATCTGCTCACCTCTTCACAACCAAAACTCAAAGAAGCTCAGAGAGGGATAGAGGGAGAGAGAGAAGAAGAAGAAGGCGATGATGAAGAAGATGAATGTAGGTCTGATTCTTTTCTCGGTGGCCTTGGCCGCGGCGGCAACAGGGGGGGCTCGTCGCTTCGATCCGAGCACCCTGCTGGCTGAGATGATGGAGGAGAATGGTGAGGCAAACTACTTGATGAAGTCGGCCACCACTGCCTGCTGCAACAACTGCATCTGTACTAAATCAGAGCCACCAGAATGCAAGTGTCATGACTGGGGAGAAACTTGTCATTCTGCTTGTAAGTCTTGTGCCTGCTTTGAATCGTTGCCTCCGAAGTGTCGTTGTTTTGATACCACCACTTTCTGCTATGATCCTTGCCCTCAGTAGTTGCCAAGTACTGATAGATATGAAGGGCTTGTTTCTAATAATTAATAATAAGGCATATGATGTGAGTCTTAATGTAACCAAAGCCTACTTCAGGCTTTGTTTCTGTGAATGTGATGAACTCTATTTCCATAAATAAAAAGTCTTGTACCCTTTATTAAGGAGTTTAATTTGCGAAATATTAGGGGAGTTTAATTTGCTTTTCGCAAAGTTCTTGTTGCTTGCAAGTTGCAACCTCATGATCATTTTCTTCCATCACTCTTTTTAATCATCAATAATAAAAATTTGGATGAGCTGGATCTTATGAGCCTTCGAATTCAATAAAGGATGGCAACGAATTTTAAACTCATGAATTTGTGAACTGTTACCTCTGGTCCTTAATATAAGAGTTAGTTTGATTTTTAATTTGATCCTAGATATAAGACTCTAATTCATTTTGTCTCTCATATTTATCTATTTTTTCCAAAGAAATTCTTGTAGTAGTTACAAATGTTAAATATTTAATCAAATAGTAGTTTTAACTGATAGCACATCCAGTCCTTAATATAACACCTAGTTGACTAATTGGAGAAACTAAGAAAATTAGTTAAATTAGTTATTTGTTATAAATAGGTGTTGTTTTCCTAAAATACCCTTGTTAATCATATATATTAGTTATAATTACTAGTTGATAAAACTTTTAACATATGCAACTATTGTAAGGACTACTTTGGAAATAAATAAATAAATATGAAAGACAAAGTGAATTGGGGTCTTATATTAATATCAAATCGAAAATCAAACAAGTTCTTATAATAAAGAACAGAGGTAGTATATGATTAGCAAAAGTATTTTAGGGAAGCAACAACTAATTATTACAAATACTAACTCAACAAACTTTCCTAATATATTCAAATTAGTCAACTAATTTTTATATTAAAGAGCGGAGGTAGCATATGGTGACCAATCTTTGTCCGCTATTTTTCCCACTCTTTATTTTTAAAGCCTTATGCCTCTTTTTTTGTATTGAATACGTAAATGGATAGCTTAAAGATGTTACTAGAGTGGCAAAACCTTGCTTCACTTGTATTTTACTATTCAAAGCAATATATATATATATATATATATATCCAGCGTTGAGATAAGAACTTGTGAACTTCAGGAAAATAATTGAAGCTTATAAAATTGTAGGAGTATCATGGAATAATTTGTGACAATTATATTAATGCGGAAGAGGACAGAGAACTCGGAATATGCTGAGGACAAGTGGACAGCTTGCATTATTTCTTCATTATATTTTTTGTTATAATTTCATTATTATGATTAAAAAAATATTTCTTGAGAGTAGAGAGTACGTCAGATCATCTATGGGAGAAGAGTAATTATTCACCAATTAGATATATAATAATATCATATAGCCAAAGGCTGTAGATAGACTTGAATTAAAATAAATCCTTTATATTATAGATATATGTTTTATAAATCAACTATATATAACCATAATATTAAAGAAAAACAGTGTTTCGATGGTGGTTAAAAAAAAAATCACGATCAAAGGTTCACTGTCCATGACTTTCGGCTGCAACAGGTTATCACCGCTAAAAATGTTTTTAAAATAAACATAATTATAAATCATATTAAGCAATTTTGCTAAAATAATCATTTAAATGATTAAAAGTAAATAAAAATTAAAATTTGAGAATGAATATTATTTAAAAATTTAAAAAGAAGCCCATTTATGTAAGTAGAAAAACAGCAATAACTAAACAAAGAATATGGAATACAAAGACAGCATATATAAAATTTCACTTTTATTAATTAGATGAAAATTGCATCATTTAGAAGTCCTAGCAATGAGGAGCCACATCATCGTCAGCAAGATTAAGAAACCTTAAGGGTGGTTGAGAGGAAAACTGGGGGTGAAAACTAGGTTGGGTGACATATACAAAGACATACATTACCAATACAATGAGGACATTTTTGACAATACCTTTCACAGTCTTTATCAACATCGCAAAATGTATCCATTGTTGTACTTCCTCCTCCTATAGCTGCTCTTGAACACCACCCTGCAATAATTTTCAGGCCATATATTGAACACATATATTTCATTAATCGATCATTGCTATATATTTGCTATAACATATCACTCTAGTACTTATTATTTGTCACTTATATGTACCATTTTTAATGTTTCATTGGACAGGTGAGAAGAAATATACTAGATATTGAATTCTCTTTTTAATAAGGACAAAAGTGAAAGATTTTATATATTTAATGTTGTCCTTAGTGTATGATAAATTCCTATAAGTAACAAATAATAAGGACCAAAGTGGTATGTCGCGCATATAAAGATATAAAACGGTGTAAATGGATAGTAGATTAAAGAATATATATTGAGTTATTAATTACCTGATGTTATGAGCAGCAGAAAACAAAGAAAGCCAAGTGAATGGTTGAAGCCTTTCCCATTATACTGCACTAATGAGAGTTTAAGAATTGCTATCTTGTGAATCAATGTGGATGAAGCATATGAGGAGAGGATTTAATTTATAATAACATCTGGAGGCCTTTGACTATTCGAATATTTACGGCATTAACTTTCAATTAATTGTTGTGGATTTTTGAAAATGAATTATCGTAAACGCAATTAATTCTTGTACATAAATGCACATCACCTAGGGCCTAGGACCTCATTATATTGGAAACCAAAATCTATTTTGGTTAACTATTACAATAAAGTACTTTCTATAAAAAATTGAGTGATTCTTATTATAAGTCAACAAGGTGGGATATTAATTGCATATTTCAATATTGCCACTCTGATCCTATGTGTAAGTTACTTGTACGAGAAATATATTATTTCAAATATAAGTCACTTGTAAGGTAATTAATGACATTTTTTTCAATTTTATTCCTATTGAATATAATAAAGAAAATAAATAGGTGAGGAAAATTGTACAGTATTTTTTAATAAGGGTAAACAAGAAATACTTTAATAATTTAATAAATTTCTTAGTATGTGAAAATGAGATATAAATAACTTACATATAAGATCAGAGTAGTATCCTATTTAAAGTTTGATTCAATTTTTCTTGCTTTGAGATATGACTCTTTTTTTAAAAATATCTCTTTTTTTAAAATATTTTTCCCCACACATTACGGGGTTGAGGAAGGTGGCCAGCATCCTTATTCTCCTCATTTGGGAGAATGACAATAATTGAGGATTCTAAAAGAACAATAATATAAAATAAAGTCCTTAAGTTATATGCAGCGAAACTTAAAGTTTGAATTGTAAATTTGAAATTTACGTGTATATACATTTATTCTTATTTTACATTAATATTTTTATAGAGTTCTTAATTATCATTCTTAATAATATTTTTTCGATAAAGGTGCAGCTGACACCCTCAATTGGTTCTGAAAGTACAACTAGCTAGTATCCTAAAATACTTAATGGTACAATTTTATCCCCAACATAATAAAAATGGAGCAATCTCACCCTTAATCCAAGGGCTCCTTAACTCCGTTAACTCATGGGCATGGATTTTCTTTTTCTTTTGCTTTTTTTCCCCTGAGGTGCCGTTCTTGAGCTAATCGAAGACAACAATGGAGAAGAGAGGTGAACGCCGTTTTTGCTTCTGATTTTTCTCCGCTTGTTGGTACGTAGGTTCTGGATGATCAGTTATACTTCTTAATATAAGAAATAGTTAACTAATTTTGATAAATTAAAACAATTAATTAAGTTAATTATTTGTAATAAATAAGTATTATTTTTCTTAACATATCCTCACTAATCAAGTGTATTAGCTACAACTACTATTACTACAAAAGCTATTTTGGAAAAAAAAAAGATAAATAAAAAGACAAAGTGGATTGATGCCTTATATTTAGGATCAAAATAAAAGTTAAACAACCTCTTGTATTTAAAGGCCGGGGTTATAACATGAAGTGTCATTCATGGTGATAAGGTTCTGGACTTATGGTCCACCACTAAAGAATTTTCTTATTCTTACGGGATTGAATTAACTACATAGTTGAATCAGTACCTAAGATTTAGGATTAAAGACAGAAGAAAAGACAATGGAGGGAATAGATGATAATAGAACGACGGGGTCGCTAGAGATTATTCCGGCAATGCCTCCGTATCCTTTTGCCCACGTTCTTGTCTGCAACTCCTCAAATCGTTATATTGCTCTTAAAACTATCGAAAATTCTAAACCCTTTCGATTTCGTTGCCGAAGCAAAAACTGCGTTCACCTCTTTCCTCCATTATCGTCTCCGATCAGCTCAGAAACGACGCCTAAAAAAATCAATAAGAGATGACGGAGAAGGCTGTTAGGTTAAGGGCAGAATTGCTCCATTTTTATTATATCGGTGATAAAATTGTACCATTAAATATTTTAGGGTGTTAGGTGTACTTCCAAAAATAATTGAGTGTTAACTGCAACTTTACCCATATTTTTTAGGCTAAACATATGTTCTATCATTCCAAAATCGGAAAAGATTTCAACTAGTTCTCACTTGGTGGTGGTGGCCGGTTGAGGTTCTTATCAATAAAAGGGTATAATAAATATTATGTTAAATTTCACGGAGTTTATTATTTTTTAGTGACAATTAATGCAGCGCAACAAATATCTTTTTTTTTTCCTTGGACACAGTTCATTTAGGTAATTAAAACAGCTCTTGATTAAAGCTCTAATAATTAAAAGAAACAGAATACAGAGACCACATATATATTCACTCTTATTAACTAGATGAAAATTGTATTATTTTTAAGTCCTAACAATAAGGAACCACGTCAACACAAGATTAACAAACCCTACTTAAGGATTGTGGAGAGGAAAACTAGGGTTTGGCAGACATTTACAAGTACATATACCATTAACACATTTAGGACAGCCTTGTCCCCCAGGCCACACACTACAAAAATAATTACAGTCCTTATCAGTTTGGCAAAGTACATCTGTTGCCGTACTTACTCCTCGTTCTATTGTGGCTCTTGAACACCACCCTGCAATAAT